ATGATTTTATTCCATCAGGTTGAAGCAAAACAAAAAAGTCATGAAAGCTTTAGATGAAACATGATGTCTACATGATAACCACACCAAAGGTGCGAGAAGAAGCTCGACGGCACTTCAATTGCTCGACACTGGAGGGAGCCGAAGTTGAAAANAAATATTTAATAGGGATGGAAAGGTGCAACTTATACCTAACGTTGCGGAACGATTCACCCGTGTCGACTGGGAAACTTCAAAAGGACCGGTCGGTAAAAATGTGTGCTTCTCAAGCGCAAACCATCTCTTACATAATTTTTGCGATAGGAGAGGCCACAATGATTTTATTCCATCAGGTTGAAGCAAAACAAAAAAGTCATGAAAGCTTTAGATGAAACATGATGTTTACATGATAACAACACCAAAGGTGCGAGAAGAAGCTCGGCGGCACTTCAATTGTACGACATTGGAGGGAGCCGAAGTTGAAAATCAGGGTCATCCTGGAACGATTTTCTCCCACTGGGAGAAGCGTGTCTTTGAGGTCGGTTATTTTCAAAATATATCTCGAAAAGCTGTGCTGATCAAAGTCGAAATAATGGAGATGTGAAAAATGGAGACGAATAGAGGAGGAGAGCCATCCGTGTAAACCAGCAGACATCAACATATACTTCTTGTTCTGAACGCTCGAAGGTTCGGGAGGCGAAGCGCATCATCTCGAATCGCGGTAGAAGCAGTTGGTTTGAGCAGTGTTTAGTACTACTAGGAAAGATCTGAATGAAAGAGACAGCAAGATGGTTTCTTTTCGATGTTTCACAGTCAAGGCTAGAATTAACGAACATTTTATATTCATGCACTCAAACCAAATAGAGCTTAGGCTATTGAACCTTGGCCTTTCTTTGCATTTGCATTCACAATAACAGAATAGAACACTATCAAGTGAGGGCATTGAACATGTTCGCAGATACAAAGCTTATAAGCCTAATGACCTCTAGCTCCTTTTTTACACTTCGGAACCTTGATATAGATGACCTTAGTAGGGCATTTGTACTGAGCAGCCGTGTCTCCAGGTCGATCGAACATCGAAGTTAAACCGAGAAAAAACAAAAGTCTAAAGTCTCATAAGGTTGAGTTGAGCGGTCCTTTCAGAGGTTCGGAGGTTCTAACACCAATCGCGATGAATCAAGTGACTTTTCAAGATGCGCTGTGGTTTTAAACAGGATGGTAAATGCCGTCAAATCATTCCTGGGATCTCTATTTTCAGGATGAGATAATGTCTGGTAGTTATTCGCAAGTAGCCGCCATGTCTCGTGTGACGCTGGCATTATTCGAAGACTCTGGCTGGTACAAAGTGAACTACGAGTGAGTCANTGCAACTTCGCTACAAAGAGTTGCTTGACGTGGATGAAGTCGAACCCAACGAATCCGTATCCGTTTTGTAGGATTCATGATGATTCAAGGTGAGCAATATTTTGTATTGCACATTCTTAGCGTCTATGTTTTCTCAGATTGTTTATTGAGCCTAAACTAGAGGCATGAATAAACAAGTTGGCACTAGGCCGGATCCTACTAGTTGACTTGCACAATCACTTCTAAGCATATTTAGGCAAAAAAATATCATGTTTGGTTTGCTTTGAGCTACTGCAGGATTATAAGCCACTTTTGCCAACTTTGGATTTTACCTTATTTATTCGTAGTTGCCTGATGTAGTAGGCAATTCGTTCTTTAAAGTTTTTCGCTGAAGATCTCTATGACTGGACCTCCTACTGCTGAAGAAATGAGTGCCATCAGATATTGATAACGCTCCACGGTGCGAGTTACACACATTTAAGTCAGCCCCTTCTTCATCTGAAGCACCTAGAAACGATAAAAATTGTTGGTATCTTCATCTGTTGGAATCATGCAATACACAATATAGCACAAAATACTCAATGAAATTTCGAACTGTATTTGAAGTTACCTTTGCAGATGCAGTGCAACGCGATTACAGAGGGCTACCTGTAGCCTAGTACCACTTGGAAAGAGGGGTGGAGCTCTTCCACCTGAGTACGACTACAATACTGGAACTATTTACCAAGATAAGGAAGGTCAGCCAATTTTCGGACGTGGAGAACTGCTTACAGACTACTGTCCCTACTATAGGGTAAGCTGAGCTTGTTTGTCTGTTTTCTGTCATAATATCATACCGACATACCGATACCGACACTCAACAGTAACTTAACCCGCGCCAAATTTCGACTAAAAGAAAGGAAAGTGATGTTTTATTGAGTCCTCAGAGCCATTTTTCAGTGAAACATAAGTAGTATAATAAAGGTAGTTTGAGTTAAGGAATAACTAAACATCAAACGGTGCGTTTTTCTGATGGCATCTGCTTTTTCCGCTGCAAAGGGCTCTCGCTAACAATGAATAACACATTTCAAATGGAAATAACACATTAAGTTTTACTGTCGAAAACTGTGCCGTTGAAGAACATAATAGGAGAGTTGTCCTTCAAACACAAGTACCTTTCCTTCAGAATGGCATAGCGCAGTAACGAATTTTTCACCGCTACTTGCCAAGTAATTCTGTTCAGGCATTAGACAGTAGGTGGCATTTCAAAAAAATAGGGATCCCGAGGCCACACGATCTATCCTTCAGAGCCTCAGCACTATTGCCACAAAAGGTGGATTCGACAGTTCCTGTGCTTTTCCTGGCAATATGAATTACAACAACTACTCGTTAGAGGTAATCAGTCATCAGTTCTCAGTCAGTGAACGTTATTTCACCTGTTCCGTCCATAACGAACTCATAAGGTGAGAGCTTAAAATTCGAGAATGAGTGAATAGTAATAGCACCAATATTCGGAATGATTCTTCAAGCTCTTCAGGAGCGAGTAAGTAGTTGTAGATAACTTCAAGGTGAACAACCCGAAGTTCCTATCAATACTTTTGAAAGCTTCCTGATCCAACGGAAGTATCTTTGAATTTTCCTCGAGGCGTTTGGGCGAGCAACTTGAACACCCTCACACCACTTCGAGCTTTGGCGATAGCGAAGAAGTCGATACATCAGCTCTGAAAAATTTAGGTCTGAAAACCTGTAGAAACATTTCGACTGAACTATTTATTACACATTCGTCTAGCAGAGCAAGCATTAAGGACGATAGTCCAGTAGGTGGCCCGAGAGATAGACGCTTAAGAAAATAAATGTTCTCTACAGATATTCTCTCCGACAGCCCGCTGTTTCGAATTACATGGAGGTATCAAAGTGGAAAACGAGGTCTCAACGCTCACGAAGATGCATACTGTTGGCTGCTATGAGGTGTGTTAAAGTCAGAGTTGCTGAAACGAAAAAGCTAGTTTGAGGTTCAGTAATCTGCTTGAGTAAAAGGACAAAACTGAAAATAGATGAAAAGGTTGCTTTGGGCAGCTGGATCAAGGAGCTTCGATTGATCGCTTCGATACGTTCTGCGGACTTTTGTCATCAATCAAAGAAGCATTATGCTTCGTAGAGGATGCGCCTCTCTTACTGCTTTGTTCTGCCCATATTTTTCTCATTCGACTTCATATGCGAAGGCAAGAAAAATTGTGATTTTTTATGAGCGCGGCTAATGCGCATCTCATCCGTAACCATACCTGATCTGTTCACAAAAAAAACTCACAGGGAGAATCAAGTCACTAAGTCATGCAACGCCTAATCACTCCCGAATTACTAGGTTTCTTCATAACTACTGCGTAATTTTTCGCGGCTTCTTTTCCCTCGATAGAACTCAAATGGTGAATTCGCATTTATTATAAAAATGCTCATCTCGCATTGCTCAACAGAATGAATCTAAAAAGTCACCTCCATATTCGCCACGTTATGCTCTACTACTTCGAGAAAGTTTGGAAGGTGGCAGAGTCACTTCGCGATCTCAGCGAACTTTTTGGGATGGGACAATCAGTCAAAGCCAAGTAAGGAATGAGATCTGTTCCTGAATCCGTCATACTCATCGATAGAAAGTTCTATGGATTATCACGTCAACCGTTCGTTGGGAAGTTGGCTAGGCAACAGATCTTACGACGAAATGGATGACTTGATGGCCGATATCAAGGGGTGGATCGCCCCCAAAAACCGGAAATTCTTCACCTTAGGAAACTGACTGCCTAGCGAATGGGAAGCAGAAATTGCAGAAATAGGAAATTTTGTTGAAAAATTCCGCAGTAATTATGCCTATTAACAACCTAATATATATTTTATGCAGATATAAGCATTCGAACGGTCCTTCGCATTTCTACAAAGGATGATGGTTGGATAAGCATTCGAACGGTCCTTCGCATTTCTACAAAGGATGATGGTTGGGCGTTTACATAGAATAAATACTGATCAGTTTGCTAGCTCAAGCTTTACCCATACACTTTCCAGAACGATCACTTTCGATTAGTCTTTCTTTAGAGACTAGATCGATTAATACTGTTCTGATATGTTGAGGAGGTAGCCTCACTTCTAGGACTTTGAAAGTCAAATGTCCTTTCAAAGGCTGTTTTTTACTAACCATAAGACCGAAATACGTTTTACAATTTTTTACTTTTACTTTGATAAGGATAGAAGAATTCTTTTCTGATCCTTCACCTTTGCTTTCATATAGAGCCAATTTTCAGAGCATATGCAAAAACAATCTACTAATGATTAAAACACAAAATTCAAAATTCTATCCTTGCTATCATGAAGGGCAATTAATCCATGTCGAAAAGGTATTTAATGAACGGTGTCTTTATTTTGTTATTTATTGGTTGTACATCTGGCACGTTTATCAGCATAGACTAGTGTGTTAAACCTTTTTTT